TGAATTCTAACATATAATGTATTGATACCACGTAAAAACTTCAAAATATTCACCTTTTTTGAATTCATAAGTTGATTAATATAGAATAGAGTTAACATATAACATGTATGATACATTGTAACGTGCAACAATTGTCTCGCAAGCACGAAATAGATAGCGTTTTATCAGCCTGCCGCGAGTGTTTAATAATACTCTTGTTGAACTTGCATTTTCCTATCACTCAATCAGCGCTCATCGAAAGCTGAATCAATAGACAAGTGATAAGCGATATTCTTGCACACGACTTCTTGTCGATTTTATGAATCATCACCTCGTTATCGTCAACTGAGTTAAACAAATAACACTTTGAACACTTCGGAGTTGAGTTCTAAGCAAACTTTTCAAAAGCTACGCCACTTTCGTAAACTTCAGTGACAATGCACCTCAAAATATTCATGTTTCGCTATGAAAGGGTTAATTTTATTTTGTGCTAATCTATCAATCTTGTTTGCTGCAAACGTAGCTATTCTTGTCTTTTCAAAGTTTAGGAATTCGCCATCAACTGCAAGACCCAGCCAGATGTTACTGCTATTTCAGCTTTTTCAACAGATGATGCCGCATATCACACTTGTATTTTCACGAATGCATCTTGCATCTCACATTTCCCGTAAAATATCTTAAAATATCAACGCGTTTTTTGTTCTTTCACCTTTCAGTTGCGCTCGTCTATTTCAGCATGCTCTTATTCCCGGCCTCATTCAAGTTCAAGTCTCAAATTCTTGCAGACTGCGTAGAAGATACATTCATCTTTTCAGTCTGCATCAAATATAACGGCACTAGCACACTTGCCACGGGTGCACGATGCATGGTTTAATTTGGTTTCTACCTGTGTGCAGGTTTTCGCTCAACCCACAACCCTTGTGAAAATGAACAACAAGCGGTCATATTTCCTAATAGCACTGTTATCGGACCGGCATCCGACTAGACAAAATCGGCAAATCTAAAAAAGATTTTGCCCAGCGCTTTCTAAAGAAAATTTCGAAATAAACATCGCAAATATAAACGAAAGAGGTAAAAGGGCCAAAACGCAAGGTACCGTTATGAGCCACTTTATATTTAAACCTTATTTCCCACACTCCGTGCCCTTTTGAACACTTATTATATTTTATTTGAAGAAAAAGCTATTTGTCTGCATTTCATATATTGCAAAAAAATTGATAGGCAAAAAATAGTTTTGAATTAATTATTTCTATATGAGTCCGATGTCTAGCTACTAGTCGGTGCATGTCGCAACGTGTATCTTTTGTGCAAAAACCATAACATATTAAAATCTAAAGGTCGCCCCACACACGCAAACACATCCATACAATCATAATTGCACTGAACAGCTCAAAAATGTTTCTGTTGCAATGTCAATAAAATAAAATTGTGCCAACAATTGATCTGAAACTAATTGCTCTCGCAACACAACGGGCGGCTGCCAACGAGATTCAATTACTTTTCGAAATTTTCCTCACATATTCAACATTGCGAGTCAAATTGCGTTATTATTGCATGCATAAATTCTTTAAGATTACTCGTATGTGTATCAAATTGTTATTTTTTTACTAATCGGTATTTAAAATAATATATTTCGCTTGATACGTGCCCGAAGTGAACTTGCAGTACTCAATATGTGATAAAAATCGCGACGTATGAATTGAATACGTGAAAACGAGTTAATTAGTGCGTAAAATCGACTTTTTCACCCTGTGGATGCAAATAGTTTATAAGTAAATCTTAAGACCAAAAAATGAATCTTTAATGATTATTAATTTATTTATTTTAGCGTTGATTTGTGAGCATAATAAAAGCTAACGAGGCCAGTTTTAATTGCAAGTTTTTCCAACATTTTTCACATTTCCAAGCCGAAGATTGAAGCAATAAAAATATTTCCAACCGTAATGAACGCGATGATGTCGTGTATTATAGCGTTGTGTGCGTGAGAAGCATATAATAATCAACGGAAACGCACCACGCTGCTCATCGCACGATGAAGAATGAGAGTAAACGAGCATGAAGAGCGAGCGCATGAATGTCAACGGGCGTTGGGCATTTAATCAATTAGCTCACATTAGAATAATCTATCGCGTTTGGGCAATGTCGTGCAGGGCACACATGAAATTTCTATTTCTCTTTGCATGATGCTTCACCTAATAAATGATATAAATGTACAATGCATCTGAAGTGTCGTATTACTGACTCCCATCATTGAATGAGAATGATATTTATTGTTTTACACAGCTTCATTAGCTTAAAGAAATTTCAAACAAAGAAAAAACGCTTTAGATTTGTATATTTTTTTTAATTTTAATTATTTTACCGAATTCTAAAGCTTATCGTCAAATTATAAACAGGAGCACAATATTTTCTTTCATTTTGATCAAGTGCAACCGTAGAACGTAATCAACAAGTCTGCAGTCTTATCCTGTGGGAAATATGCATGACTGTGGGTTCTTGACTCGCTGGCGTGCGTATTTATAAAAGCCAAAAGCCGCCGTACGAAAATAAACGCGTGATAAACTTTTGTTTTCCCGATTTCCGAGTATCTTGATATTCCGATTCGGATTCGCGTTGCAATGTGAGTGCGCAACTGAGAATGAATGTGTTTTTTGTTATTTGTTTACGCGACGCACTCGTGGGTGCTCCTGTGCGAATAAAATAAACTTTTGATTCGTTGCCCAAGCACATCGTAGAACGCAATAATTAAAGGGTTGCCAAATTCGCCACACAATCAACTTGTTGTTGTCCCGGTGCGTTCTAACGTTAAAAATAGAATATGTCTAAAACATCTTGAATTGTATTTAGTATCTACAATCATTTTACTGTTAATGATATGCATTAGTAATTATAATTACGTAGCGTAACTTGATTATATATTTATTCATGGCGTGAGCTTGTGAATTGTTTTCAAAGCGATGTGACATTAAAAATCGCAGAAAACGTCCTTGTGGTTTAATTTCTTTCATTTCTTGTCGAGTCGTGTGTATTTTTAAATCACGAGATTTCAAATATAACTAATGAAACTTTACAATTAGACTAAATCTCTTTATTTGTCATTACACTACCTAGTTTTGATTATGAACTCGTTTTATAAATGAATCAGAAATTAGTAGGTTTGCGGTTTGCTAACTGCAAATGTGCTTATCATAGATTTTTACGACGCGATGCGATATTTAGCGTAGTGAGCACGTTCCTCATTAGACGACCTCCACCATCACATTTTCTTGTAGACGACAAAATATCAAACTGACCTGGTTTCAACGAAGATCGCAAATAAACGACTTGAAAAGTATCTCCGACTCAATTCATGGGACGAATAACAACAGATTTGACGAGTCGACGATTCATTTGATTCACGGAAATTGCTACGCAGACATTATGCAGATTGGAATATAAATGTTTTATTTTAATATAATTTAGCAGGACATAATAGCAATAGCACCGTTTAAACGTTAATTTTGGCGCAATTAATTTTTATGGCTAATTTTTCTTCCGCTGGGTGCCAAATTTTGTGACTTTGCAAATCGATTATAAACATTTTAGCAAAGTAAATAATTGTAACAAAAGGACGTTTTTGTAAATAAAAAACGGATATACACACGTATTAACTGATTCATAATCTAACGTACAGAAATAATTAGATCACCACAATTTATTAAAACAGAAATGCAGAAAATTCCGTTAAATTACGATGCATCATAAGACCAAGCACATGTCGCAGCCGTTTCCTCGAAACAAAACACTACATAATTTTTTTAGAAATACTATACTAAGACACTTCTAATGTTACTCGAATTCTTGCTTCAACATATTTACACACTATCATATAAGTATTTGCAAGTGTTTTGCATTTTTTGCGACGGATAGAATAGAAAAATAGACCGGAAACCGCATCATTTGTCGGTAGTTGGGCAAACACGCTTCAAATATCAAGCCAACATTTGCTTAAACGCAATTTAGTTATTACCCTAAAAAGGCGGTAGCTACTAAGTCACTAATTAATACGATAGTGTGTGAGTATATATGTGTATGTTGGTTTAAAATGTTTTAGATGTATCCATGATTACTTACACGCCTAATTAAAATTATGCACTATGTATGTTATTCGCAAGTGGGAAAATAAGCATTAAAAATATCTAACAGCTGCCCATACGCACATCCTGTCGAGTTTAAATACGAAATGTAACATATAACGAACTCTTTCAACGACAAACACTCCTAACCGCATACTAAGTAGCAACTCCGCGCCATTTTCAAACAATATATAGTCGCAACCGTCGTATTTCGTCGCTGTCCAATCGCATTAATTACATATGATAATGCTAATTAAAAAACGCAAAAATTGTTAAATCTTTATGTCGTATTGTTTTTAAGTGATTTTTACAAGTATCAAGACGCATTTTCACTTACAACCCGACTTAAGTCATAAAATTAAGCCGCTATTGTTTTCGGTGCGAGATTTTAAAGGCGCGACGCGCTTCCGGCCTTCAGTGCGAAACAATTACTATCACAAGAAAGACTAACGTGACAATATTGCCTACAAACTAATAAAAAAATAATTATTTCACAGAAATAATATGCATTTCCGCATTCTGCGCAAATTGCAAATAAATAGGTAACATATAACATTCACAAGGACTGTTATTATAATTGTGTTAATATTGCGTGTTATCACACCAATTAACCTCCTTGCTAATAACAATATCTATTAGATTTATCTAATTAAAACTTACGTAAAATGTCCGCCCAGTCGTGCCAAACAATCGCGAAACATCTTAAAGTTATCTTTTTAGGTTCTGTTTATACGCAGTTCTGTCTCACCCATTGCGTAAATTTAATCTTACATTATTCACCTTTGTTCTTACCTGTTTACCTTTCATTGCGATATTTAAATGCTTGTAACATTTATGGTAGGCAACCCACCAAACACCACACAATGCGCAGTCTCTATACACTCAGTAATAATTTGAAATTCTTACCTTAACAAAATTGTTAGATGAATGTCATGACTAAACCGGTCCAGGGCGTTGGTGCCATCCACTCGAACACCGTTAATTTTCTCGCGCAAACTAGTAGAAGTTCCAACAGGTGGGTGACGTTCCCGTAGGATGTCAAAAATGTTAGGCTGGCGCAAAAACGCGACAACTTTGTCGTTGTACGCGACGGGAATATCCGGACACACATTAGGCACAAACGTTGTCGTTGTTGGACGAGGCGGTGGAACCGGCGCCTGAAAACAAACCGTTTTGATGTAATTGATGCAAATAATTACCGAGCAAAATATTAGTATTGTTAAATTCAATTTTAGATCTTACTTGGGCATCGTCCGCATGCCGCCGAAACACCACCGGATCAGTAGGAAGACGCGGATCCATATATGAAGTGCGTTTGTGAGTATGATCAATAAAAAATTGCTGAATTGCGATTGAAGGTCATGTTAGTAATGAAAACAAGAAGAATAGCGTTAATTATTCTCATATTTCCATCACCTAATAAATGCTTAAGTCAATGAAATATGTACCTTTGAATTTCGGTCCTTTTTCGTGTCCCAACCTGTTGGCAACTCTTTGCAAGAGTCTGCAAACATATTCACTAACGCGACTAATTCCTTGTTGTGTTGGTACTTATCAAACGTGGCAGGATCTCTGCGAATACGGCCAATCATATGCTTCAGCGTCGAGTTACGGTTGTACAATGAGAGTGCATCCTGAAATAAATAACGAAATTTGCTTTATTACCGTAAATTAAATAATATGCATTCGCTTAAAATGAAACTGTTATGATTACTCACTTGATTCATGTGTAATGCAGTAAAGAAGTCTGGCCGCGTTAAAAGTTTACACCCAGGTGGCGCTGCTGAAAAGTCCGCCATTTCGACGCGATGTGAGCTGATTGTGCGTCGAATACTTTGATATCGTCTATCCAACTGACGGCGCTGCTGTTGCTCTGCACCGCCTCCACACGAAGAATTACTTGCGCTTGCGCCGGGTCTGGTCCAAGAAGTTGTCCTGGTTGCGTGATCAATGTAAAAAACTCGTCCATGGCTGTCCATACGAGCTTCCCAAGCTAACAATGACAAAGTCAATTTTATAAAAATCATCATTAACTTATAGTTGTCATGGTAACAAGATTCTTTTATTTTTATTGTCAATAATTATAACAATAGGACCAAGAGGGCAATAACTAACACTTACATGGTGGTAGTGGTTCATCTTGCTCGGTAGATGTAATCGATGTCGTTGAGATTCCTGACATTCCAGACATTTCCGCGACGAGTGCCCTATGTGACCTCTCGGGTATAGACGGCAGGCGAGACGCAGTGAGCTGCCGCAAGGGTAGTAACACCCCTGGAGCAGCGCATGCTTCTGCCCCCGATTGAAAACCATCCACAATGTCATCGTCAGCTACTACCTGCACATTTGCGCCTGACGGTGCAGGTAAAGTATACTCTTCGTTGCTTGAAGTCGCTGATGAAGTTGAAAGCGTATCTGCATCGCTGCACGGCTCCGATTTTAGACTGGGCGGTTTCAGTTCGCCGACGCGATGGCGTCGCGAGTGGTGAGTAGGCGTGGGCGGGCAGACAGGTAAATTATTCGGTGGTGAGACGCCTACAAAAACCAAAAATAACAATTAATTCATAAAAAATAATATCGAAAAAAAACTAACCTGATATTCGGGCTAGAATTTTGTTGTGTGGTTTTAAAGACGGTGGCGAGGGAGCCACCTCTAAGACAGTTTCGTCTAAGGCCAGACGTATATGTGGTTGCATACCTTCAGGAGACAACTGTCTACTCAACTTTTTGTGCGGTTTGACCGCCGCCATATTGGTGTCCGGCGAATGCGAGTTTAGAAACTCCGTAGAGCTCGCGGTGGACATGGAACTGGTACTCTCCCTACCATCCAGGGAATGTTTCTGCCCCGTAACGCATTTCGCACTAATATAATTATCAACGTCTATATGTTTTCGGGAGTGTTGGACTTCTCCTGTGACTGAGATTCGTAGCAAGGCGGTTCGTCAGTGTCGATCAAATCAAACTGAAACGTATCCTCCGGTCGTTTGGGTTTATTCTGCCTTAAAACAGGCGGTTTGAACCCAGGTACCTCCGGATTCGAACACGACCCTTTGACAGCGTTCGAACGCTTCAGGGGACGATGCAGACTTCTCGGTGGTAACGGCGGTGCATCTTCAATCTCCTCTGGACTGCTCGAACTCGCCGTCCATATTTGATAGTAGTCCTTATTAGGCGATTTGGCTGTGCGGATTTTTTTCTTAGTACCTGATGCACTTTCCGATCGGGTCAGGCCGTTGGTGGCTTTCTTTTTTACGCCCGTGGCACCGCTGTGAAGTTCCTCTAAGGATGTGGACGTCTTTTTGGCTTTTAGCAACGAGTGAATTTGAGATTCGCATGATTCTATCGGTAATTGCAAAAGCGGATAGTCGCTAAATCCATCATTATCTATACCGTTGTCGACCACTTTCTTTTTATCGTGCTTGTCTTTGAGTTTGATGAACTTTTTGAAGCGTTCAGGGGGATCTTTAATAATTAGCGGCTGCGTCTGCGCGATGTAATCATTGGATCCTTTGTAGTAACGAAAAGCCATGTGTTTTCCACACTCTAATACAAAACACCAAGAATTTTGTAAAAATTCGACAGTATATGACATTTACATCATTTGGTGTAAAATATTGATGAATAAAAGCTAATCACTTACCGTTGTGGATGTGAGGTATATCAAGAAGCCACATCGTGGTGTTCGCATGTGGCTGCACTCGCTGTCGACCGAGTATCACGTCGCCGTCGCAGTCGTCTGCAACAAGTGAAAAATTGCGCGATCAAAACGAGGCCGCATCATAATTCAACGCAGCACAGATAAAAATGGTAAAGTACAACTTCCACAATACACTAAATTGATATTTGGTTTTAATATTAATTGAAATAGCGTGTAAATGGATCGATTAAGTGATATAAATTAATTTGATTGCATTCCAACACGTTCTCGTCAGGTTGAAAAGAAGAGGAAATCCTCTGCGCACAAATTCAGGAAGCGTTTGCTCCATAGGCGGATGGTCTCGCGTTAACCGGAAGAAGTGGACAATTCAGCAATTCAATAATAATGAATGTTGGAGTTGAGAGCAGGATACGGATGGAGGAAACCATCGCGCAAAACAAGACAAGAAACCTGTACGTAGTACTTGTGCTGAGATTATTATTCAAAACAGGAAAGAATGGCAAAGCTAGGATACTTCTGAGGAAAGGACATCCTTCTCCTGTTTTCACTAAACGCACAATAATATAATTAAACTTGTGTTATTTCTTTAAGAAAACAAAATAGTAGGCAGCAGGCAGCAGGGCGTGTTTCCTTTCAACTCGTCCGAAAACGATGAATGAATAAATTTTTCATTCATTAGGCGAGGGCAGGATTCACACGACGTTGATTTTACACAATCGGAAAGCAAGTTCAACGCGTCGCGTGTAAAAAAACCTTAAGTCTAAGAAATCAGAAGCATAAGTATTCAATGCGAAGAAAGACCGACTTAATTGTCTTTCCTTTCAATATTCCCATCGTCTTGTTGGAAATTAGGTACTTCCCTCGTGATAATCAAGAAAGAAATTCGCATACAATTCCCACAACATTAAGTAAGAATTAAATTAACAATAGTTTTACTTTGAGGGTGAATATTAAGTGTATTTTTGAATGTTTTCATTGGCGTTATTTTGTTCATTCATAAAATCTTACACACCACCTGTCCCCGCGCGTGCACGCGGCAGATGTTAGGCGCTCATTAAATTACGAGTAGTCCAAACCACCCAACTTCTCTTTTAAACCTTTAAACTGCTGGCCCGTGATGGAAGATAATTTAAGTTGATTAGGGTGTGTTCCAGCTTCCAGCCAAATAACGAACTAAATCAATGCGCCGGCATGTGCCCGCAAGCTGCGCACTGCTCTGCGTGGTCATCGGGCGAATCATCAAATCATCCAATTTTCGAGTCCGCCTACCCGCATCCGGTCGAAAACATCACCAGCAATATTTTACAAGACACGACTTCGTTTTGTCAACTCGTTCACGTGTTATTCTGTATCAGGTGGATGCTAATCATTCAAAGAGCACGTTTTCTACGTTTACTCAAGATGCAAGAGATGGGCATATCTAGGATTAGTATTTTTCGGATGTACAATTGATTGAAGAGTATTTGCACAACGCATTACGGCAATTATCGCATTAGTCATAGTCACGTTTGCGCGACCAATGCATCCAAGGGCTATATTTAGCTCGATACCTGGCATTCATTGTCGCCGCTCGACAATATGGTAATGGGTGTTTCACATTTTATTGGGACCGGAAGGAAGCTTAGTCAGGTAGTGCCAGCTGTTTTTACCGGAACCTGCGCGGCGACGTTTTTACCAGAAAGAAGGCCGCTGTGGTGAGTACGAAATTTCATGTGCGGACATCCTATATCCGGTCTAAGAATAAACCGTCACCCTCCCGCCCTCCAGACCAGCATATATAGAGTGTTTAGTATAATTTTTAAAATACTTACAACAGTTTCAACTTAAATTTATGCGATCAGATTGTTAAACACACTGTTGATGTTACACGTACTAGTGATGAAATATTTCAGTAAAGCACAGGAAATCCAAACAATCTGAATGAATGTTTCTCGAATACTCCTACCGCGTGCTCGCTCAGCATCCCGTTTTGTACGTTTATCGGCATGCTAAAAATATGGTCGGCCATATTTTTTTTATGAAAACACGCTACAGTCGTGTAAATAATTCGCGGTTATTTTTAACCGACTACTAAAATATTGTTTCAAAAAACTTTGTGAAGATAAGGAAATCCATTAATGTTCAAGTCTGACGCCATTCAAACTAATAATTTAAACAAAACAGCAACAAATTGATTTAGAACTAATTCGAAAGAAACGCAAAAAATGACGCTCGGTTCCGGCGCTGTTCCGTGAAATATGCATACCGGCGTATGTTTTTGAAGTCTTAACCGAGTTGACACCCAGCCAAGAGAGTCAAGACGCTAAATGTTAATTATGCATGTGCGGCGTGTGCGGCATATGCCGGATATGCGCGAACATTTCGACGAAATGGCGCTTCTTTGAACACACTTTGACGTGTAGATATGTCCGGGGACGAACAATGTGCTACTATGTTACGTATAACTCACTCATTCAACAAACAATCGACGGATAAAAAATATAAATAAAAAACAATACACATGAAGTAGTCACGCACATTACATTCATTCACACATTACACATCCATTCAAAAATGTATTCGTCTGTCAAATTGTAACCTGTTTTTTTTTTTGTTTCATTTCATTGTGTTTTGTCACATGTTTGTTCATCCATGGCCTCGAGTACAATTTTATGAATGAATTGGTAAAAAACAAGTGAATAACAATTTACGCACAACATACACTTAAGCAAACAAGCGAACAAATATTAAAGAATAATATTTTTAAATGTCTACTGATAAAGTAAACCTAATTAATATGCATTGAGTTCAACTAAATGTCCTGATATTTCAATCCTCGGATTCCCCATATTATGATATATTATTTTGTAATTCATAATACGCGTGTGGGAGTTTTATAAATTAGCAACGCCACGCGTTTCGATTTGGTTGTTTTCGATATTCACCTGAAATGCGTCATCAACTCCCACAACGAGCCAAATGTAGATTATTTTTCACCTGATTATCTAAAACATTGATGTTCTCATTTCCATTAGGTGATAGTTATCACTTCATTGTAAATCAAACCTTTACAACACATTTTATCTTATGCACTTAAACTGAAGGGCGAAACACATCCGTTTACACTTCAAACTTTAAGTCAACAAATGTAATTTTTTTAAAGTTATAAATTAATTTATTTATTCTACTCCCTACCAAGTAGTGCAAAGAGATACGAAAATGCCCTTAATACATTGGCCTTCTTCGAAAAATATGAAAATATCGTTTAGAAAACACTCAATATCTCCATAACTAAATAATTTCCTTTGTTTATCAATGTCATATTAGAGTACACAAGACCCTTTTAAGGACGCATATTATTTTAACCCGCTAGTCCACTCGGAACTGCCCTAAAATGCCCTTTAAAAGTGGGCAATTTTATGAAAATTTGAATATATGGTGTGAAAAACACACCGTATTTCTTTAACTATTTCATTTTGTTTATGTTTTTCACCGCCATATTATAGTTTAAGAGACGCTCTACACGATGCATGCTATTTTAATTCGTTAAACATTTTGGAAGTGCCCTAAAATGCCCTTCAAACAACAGCCATTTTTTAAAAATTTGAAAACATACTGTGGAAAACACCCTGTATCTTGCAAACTAATATACTTTTTTAGAATTTTTCACCGCCATTTTATAGTTTAAGAGACGCTCTACACCATACATACTATTTTAATCCGCTAAACATTCTAGAAGTGCCCTGAAATGCCCTACAAACAACGGCTTCTTTTGGAAATTTTGAAAACATTCGGTGGAAAACACCCTGTATCTCGCAAACTAATAAACTTTTTTGAGTTTTTCACCGCCATTTTATAGTTTAAGAGACGCTCTACACAATAGACGCCATTTTAACGCCCTAAACAATCTGGAAGTGCCCTAAAATGCCCTTCAACCATTGGCCTTTTTTTTGGAAATTTTGAATACATGCTGTGGAAAACACTCTGTATCTCGCAAACTATTACACTTTTTTCGGGTTTTTCACCGCCATTTTATAGTTTAAGAGACGTTCTACACAATAGACGCCATTTTAACGCCCTAAACATTCTGGAAGTGCCCTAAAATGCCCTTCAAACATCGGCCTTTTTTTGGAAATTTTGAAAACATGCTGTGGAAAACACCCTGTATCTCACAAACTATTACACTTTTTTCGGGTTTTTCACCGCCATTTTATAGTTTAAGAGACGTTCTACACAATAGACGCCATTTTAACGCCCTAAACATTCTGGAAGTGCCCTAAAATGCCCTTCAAACATCGGCCTTTTTTTGGAAATTTTGAAAACATGCTGTGGAAAACACCCTGTATCTTGCAAACTATTACACTTTTTTCGGGCTTTTCACCGCCATTTTATAGATTAAGAGACGTTCTACACAATAGACGCCATTTTAACGCCCTAAACATTCTGGAAGTGCCCTAAAATGCCCTTCAAACATCGGCCTTTTTTTGGAAATTTTGAAAACATGCTGTGGAAAACACCCTGTATCTCGCAAACTATTACACTTTTTTCGGGTTTTTCACCGCCATTTTTTAGTTTAAGAGACGTTCTACACAATAGACGCCATTTTAACGCCCTAAACATTCTGGAAGTGCCCTAAAATGCCCTTCAAAAATTGTTATTTTTTTACGTTTTTTTAAATTTTTGGGGCGTGAAATGGACAAATTTTTATTTCAACATTCTTTATTCTGTAAAACTTGAAATAATTTATCACATTTTTTGTCTGAAGAACAGGGTCGAATTTTTTTAATTAAAATATTTTTGGCCGAAGAACAGGGCCGAACTTTTTGTGTTAAAATTTTTTGGGACGAAGAACAGGGCCAAACTTATCAGTCAAAAATTTTTCGGCCGAAGAACTTTTTTTCCTGCGAAATCAAATTAAACTTTAAACGCTAATAACTCCTGAACTAAAAGGGCTAGAAGGGAAAGGACGGCAGATTCTTGACCCTTGAAGGATTCTCTACAAGATAGGCTATTAAAAACAGCCCTTTTTTTTCGCCTCAAAACTGAAAAAAGTGCAAAGAGGTACCTCTTATAGGTTTTTTGATTTTTGAAAAAATCAA